AGGCTCAAGAAGTAGTTATGAGAAAAGAAAGAATGAGGTTAAGAGTGTAAGACAATTAGGATGCAGATAAGCAGAGATTTTTCAAATCATCATACATAGGGGACATTCTGAGAAGAACGTCAAGGAACTGTTCCTACATGTCAAGGAAGTGGCAGCGAGAGAAAGAATGAAGAGGCAGTAATGAAGTCAGGGAAAAAGAATGATGGTGGAAGAAAATTTTTATATACTATTAAAATATGGTAAGTCTGAGAGTCTATTTAATACAGTTTGATTTTTCATGTTAGACAGGTAAGAATATTTAATCTCTATTTCATTCTATCTCTATACAAGAGTAACTCCACTTAGGTCAATGAAGAAGGCACTGATATAATCTCTGTTTCCAAAGTGCCACAACTCTGAACTCCACAATGCAGGAGTAAGATTTAATATATTTTGGTCTTCCCAAGGTTGGTACGATTACTACATGTTGGCAAATATTTCATAGGCCACATTTCATGCATACATGTGAGACAAAAATGCAAATGTGCCCAGAACGTACTAGTTTTACAATGCAAATCTCTAATGGAGGTGATTGTTTTGGTCCTTTTGGTCCCTTCACAATTATTACTTTGTATACTGTGAAACTGGCCTGCTTCCATGAACAGTTTAGAGTGAAACTTCCCTCATTATACAACCACGTATATCTGAGCCCAGCACAGCAATGTCAGGTGATGCCTATCTCAGTTCAACATCTGGGTACTAGAGAAGAGGAATTAAATGCAGATTTCCAGCCTATCTACACTCAGAAAGCTGTGCAAGGTACCCTCCCATCCAAAATAATGATAACAAAATAACGCATCTCATTTCCAAGTTTGGAACAAAACACTTCTGTTATTTTCTGGTCTACTCATATGAATCAACGTTACTATTCAAAGTGATCAAATGATAGCAAACCATCGAGATTCAGTGGCACTAGTCATTCATTCTTATACGTACAATCAAACCAATATTTTTACGAGAGCTCAGTAACTGCATGCACTTTGCTGTTTTTCCCTTTTAACATTTACAAATTCTACTCTACAGAAGTTAAGTCTATCACTTGCTGATTCGACAGACAGCAAGGAGAGAAGAGCAAATCATCTTTGTATATATCCACTTGGAAAAGTAAGACATATCTTGGACTTGAAACTAGTTTCTTAGATGGAGCATGAAGGGATGCTTTGGGGGGGAGAAGTGTGGGTCCATAAGGTAGTTACCCTGTACTGCCCTTTCAGTAATAAAGGCAGTAGACACATTTCACAAAGAACAGTCATTCCAGCGGAACTTTCTTTAAAAAGTATCTAGAACAAAAGCCATATCTGCATCTCTCTGTCCTATGCTAGTTACGTGTTTTTGACACTGTGATATTAAAGGGAAGCTATGAACCAATTTCAACACCAGAGAAGCAATAAGTAAAGAAAATTGATTGTATCACGCAGCACCCCTATGAATATCTGAACTACATTCGTCACAGGGAAAAATGAAGATCGATACTTTTTGTACTTTAGTTTGCTTTACAAAAACTTAATAAAGGTAAACACACACATGAGGCCACTGATCTAAAATAAACTAGAAAATTACTGTTCCTTTGTATTTAATTCTGTGAATTGCACAGACTACTTATATAGACAAATACAACTGAGAATGACATAAGCATTCAAGTTGAACAGGGATATATTAATAAAACTTTTGTCTAGAGTGCAAATTACTATTTGCCTAGGAGTGCAACAGAACACATTTGTTAAAGCACTAAGAGTGACTGACTCTCCTCTACAGTCAGCACGTATGTGTACTGTTTTCTTGATACAAATGTCCCTAGTAACATACAAGGTTGCATTTGATTGTCTTCTTACCATCTCTTCTCAACTCCGTTATCTTTTGCACCTAATCGAGGGTATAATAGCTTTGTCAAACAGTGGCAATTTCACTTGTAAAAAAATTGCTGAATAGAATAATTTGTTTTCCTTACCCATTTCAGACATCTCTGGCACAGTAACAATGTATGGTCCATCTGTAAATTTTGGTGCATTGTCGTTGATATCCTGCACTTTGATAATAAATTCAGATTCAGGTTCGAGTGGCTTGTTTGTCCGTCTATCAATAGCTTGGGCATGAAGCACATAGTGTGTCTTCTGCTCTCGATCTAGGCTTTTGGTTGAATGGATGTCTCCCGTCGTGTCATCAATAATAAATATAGTCCCCGCCCCTTCTCCAGTAAGAATGTATTTGACTGATCCATCACCTTTGTCGGAATTGGAGTGTAGCTGTAGAATATATACATATAAAATTACATAAAATGACACAGCACGTTCCATAAAAGGTTATTGCACATACAGTAATATAAACTATAATATCTATTGTTAGCACTGTCTACTAAGTTGTTAACCTTCTCTCCTTCTGCCATAAATCCCTGTATGCTATTTTTGGCAAAACAACCAGTTTTTTTGGGTTATTTCCACCCAAGTGTGGCTCATTTTTAAATTGAGATTTCTGCGATTCTATGTCCAGTCCAGGAAATATCTCTACTGGGACGTTTTAATTTTATTTTTGTTTGGTTTTAGTCCTTCAGCTAGTTATTTTAGAGCGCTAATTGCTTGAAACTCTGCCTCGAGCACTAAACCTGAAACAACACACTGAAGATTTTGTGCCAATCGTATTTCAGTCCCACCACTTGTCTTGTCTTCTGTGGTCCCAAAGACAGTGCCATTTACGGCAAGAGGAAACTGTGTGCAATTGGGAGTGACAGATGCCTGTCCAGGATTAGTCTACCTCTCCATAACACACAGCCATTTTCTCTGGTTTTTGTTATTAGAAAATCACTTAATTTATTTGCCTCTAAATTATTCATAAGGAAATAAACAAATTTGACTGATACATCTGGCATTTTAACTGTTCCTAATAGACACTTTGTGCTGTAAAATATACGTAAGCATATTATATATCCTTTTCTGAGTAGAATAAGGCTTAAAATCTATTGAAAAAAAGAAGTCTGGAAAAGTCACTATGTACCCTGGTGTTTTGACAGCTAATACCAAACAACTATCCACCCAGTCTCGGTGCTTGTTGTATCTAAAAAATTGCCTATTTAGATTTAAAATGAACATATTTTCCCGGGGAGGGAAGAATGGTTTTGTTGCTAGATTGAGAAGCTTTGTGTTTTTTTTTTTCTTAATTCAGAATCACTTTGAGAGGAATAAAATGTATATATTGCACTGCACAATGAGAAAAAAGTGATAATATTGAAATGAACAGGCTCAGCTATTGTGTAACCGTATTGTGATCTTAAATCAGAAGGGAAACATTCTGATTTTAAGAATTCGCTCATTCTTATTCTTATCACACTGTCCTGAATATCTCCTAGTATCTGTTACGTGGCATTACTAACTTTCTATGCAGAATCTGAGCAAAGCACAAACAGAATGCCTATTACTATTGTTAATTAATGCAACACAAAGGGTCAGTTTCCAGACCCCTTTCAATTCTCAGTTTAAAAACCACTTACTATTGGGGTACAGAATAAAATAACACTTCTGAAGGAGGTTCAAACTTCAATCTTCTTTTTCCTGACTTAAATTGGAAGACAGAGAGCGCCTGCAATTTTCTCGCTCTCTTGTTTAGCTTTTTTGGCAGGTCTTTGTCTTGCATTTAAGATGAACTGGCTTGCTATTCGTAAAAACAAGAGGCATATGGGACTGGGTGAGGTTTTTCGTCTTGTCTCTATTAAATCTAAGTAATTATGACATTGTACATAACCTACATATTGTTCTGTATATTTTTCTGGGAAAAGCCCAATAAAGTTAAAGATCTTCAGGTGATATAAACCAGCCTAACTTCAATGCACATATACTTGTCTGAGCTATAGAAAGATCTGACTGAATAATCAAATTGAACTGGGCCACTACTTTGGACCCATCTTTCCTATTTCCGAAAAGCAAAAACAAACAAAAGAAACAGAACGTGTCTATTTGCTTGGCTTTGCCTTTAGAAGACAGCTTGACAGTGTTACACCTTCTCTTTTCAGTTGTGATCGGCCAAATTCTGGTTACACGCACATGTCTGATCATGTTCACAAGATTAGTGGATTACATTAACAAACACATAATGCATCCACTGTAAAATGCCAGACAGTCAAACTTCTTATGCTCCTAAAGCCAAAGTGGTCTCTGAAGTGGATTTCTTCCTAGAAACAGGAATACTGGGCATTCTAATACCGCTATGCTGGTATTCTCATGTTAGGTAAGCAAAATTGTTTTTCTCTTGTTGCTGGTTCCTTTTTGATAAAAGGATTTCAAAGTGTTAGTTAATGTTAATGTTCTGTAATGTTGTTAACATTTGCTTCAGAAAGACTGACTATAATTTATGAAGAAACCAAGGGAAAATCTGCATGCCAATGAATAGGTCAAATTTCCTTAGTTAGTGAAGCTATAATGAACTCGGGTTATCCGGAACTGAAAAAGAACAGAAGAAACTCCACCCTTATTCTCCTCTTTCAACTCTGCCTGCATATATGTTGGAGCACATTCAGGTTTACCACGCATAGATCGCAGCACAAAACACTGTATTTACAATTAGAAATACATGGGTAAGATCTTGGTTACATGAACAGGTGAGACTCAAAAGGATAAGGAACTGCTGTAGAATTTAAGGAGTCTGCTTTCTTCCAAAATGTCAAATATCAACTTAGATACGGATTTCTAATATCATACTGCAGAAGGCCATGTTGAGAAATTCACTGCAATAGCATGAAATGCATGGAATGTATGGAAAGTTAACAACATTAGATTACTGTTGCTGTGCAGAAACAAATATTCCTATCTGCAATCAGTGAAAAAAAAAAAAATTCAAGCACATTTTGCATCAAAGGGCTCTTATGTCTGACAGGTAATAAAAGATAAGAAACACAAAAGATGCTCAACTGATTGCACAGTCAACAAATTATACACTATTCCTTCTAAATGTTACGTTACCCAATAAACTGATCAACAAATATGTGGGCAGCAATGTTATTAGGAGGAGGCAATTATGTGGGTATTAATAGAACTTGAAATCCTTTGATTTGCAAATGTCTTTCATACTGCAGTTGTAAGGCAACAACTGGCAACATGACAAACTTAAGAAACTTGAGTGTCTGTTTTCCTGCTTCCTGACGTTCCTTATAGTATTTGGAATGCAATACTTTGATTTATGCCTTTTAATATCTAATGCTGATTTTTAAATTCACCTGGGAAGACCTTGAATAATATTTCTATTGTATAACTAAGGGTTCTTTCCTTTGTGAGTTGGTTTATATTTCAGTTTTTCTGTAAAGTAAAATAAAAAAGGAAAGTAAAAGATGAAATAAGTCTTTTTCTTCTTTAATACTTGCATCGCAGTACAAATCGGCCCAAGTAGAAGAATATCAAGCCTTCTCTCCAAAGCTGTTTGCAGGATGTGTTGTACTGAAGAGAGCTCCTGGGAGTCCCTGGTTAAGACGGTGCCTACCAGACTAACGAGAGATTGATATCCTTGGGCATGGCACACTTTCTTTTCCCCGCTTACTATGAAATCGTCTCCACAATAGGTGGCTTCTGCCACAAGAGCATTACTAATTGGAGTAAATGCGGCTCACTAGTTAGGGTACGAATATATGGTTTGGGAGGCTGTACTTCTTCAGCTACGTCTATACTGCTTAATAAAAGACAGTACAGGAGTAAATTCTAGCTGGATCACAGCAGACTCTCTGAATCTGTTTGGAACTAGTCCAACTACTCCTTTCACACTAACTTGACATAGAGGAGGATACTGCTATGCAAGGCAGACTCAAGCCATTTACACTTTTTAATTCACCTGTTCGGACATAACCTGTGTGACCAGGGGAAAGTCATTTGAACCCAGATCTCTGTAAAATATGTGGGCATTTCATTTCAATGAGACGTCGTCTCCTCTGCCAATGCCTACTGCAAGAATATGTACACACTAGAGAATGAGATATTCATGTGCTGTAGCAATGCAAATAAATAGCTTAGATAAATAAAAAATGTCGTGTTCTCTCTTCCCCTGTTATGCCAATTTAAGTCAGAAAGCTGGAATGTTGGAGTAGTCTCTTAATTTAAAAAGAAATATAAACACATTGCTAACTGAAACATAATTACTCATAACATTGAAATGAGTAATGAGCGTTGAAAAGAAATATAAGAAAATATGCCAAACATTAGAATACAGCTCTCTGATTTCTGTAGCAGAGGGTTTAACTATGCATGTGAAAATGTTACTGAAAGCGTCTTTCATTGGCTTTAGTTTCTAGGATAGTCCAGCTCATCTGAAAATTATATATTGACTTACAACATTAACTTTTTAATTGCTATTGAAAGAAACTTTTTTTGCATTAATTTGTTTCAGCTGGCTTCACCAAGTAATCTCACCTAAAAGCCCGACCCTTTTTAAAAGATGAGGCCAACAGTTTACCAACATAACCAGCAGAGTCTAAAGCAGTATGCAGTCACCACTAAGCTACATCTTCAGTCTCTCAACTTGCAGTAAGTATAGACTACTGAATTTCTTACGAAAATGCTTTTTCTATTCTAAGTGCTGGACTGACTTTTGAAAACATTATTTATTGTTGTTTATGTGGTTATGCTCCTAACAAGAATAGATATACTAAATATTCCGAATCTACCTACCACTAGAAAAAGCCAGAGTGCTTAATTTTCATTTCCCTGTTGGGCATTATTCCTGTCTTTATGTCTCTGAATTTTTATCTGTTTAAGGAAAAAAGAAACTGTAAATAATAGCTGAAGAGCGTATCTGGAATGTCACCTTTATCAACCCAGCAGGTTCCTTTTCTTGACATATTTAATAACAGTTTGGCTTCAGGATGATTTATGATGGTTCTTCAATCTTTAACTAGCCGATATCAGCAGAGTATGACTGATTTAGCAGAATGGCAAGCAAGGTGTCCTTGTTTTACTGAGACTTACACATTTTTCTTCCATTAGTCCAATTATGTCCTTAATTTTCTTTTCATATCCCTACTATAGAAGGGCTAAACTTTCCAAAGGCATGATTTCCAGAGGTATAATTTAAACTTTCAGTTAATGAGTTTCTTTATATTTTTATATTAATTTTAATACTACAGGTCTTTAAATACATGCAACTCAATACACCAACATACTTATTGCAGTAAAATGAACACAGAGACTGTAGGCTTACTGCTCAGATAATATGGTATTGTTACTGCTGGTGACAGCAAAGCAATCAATCAGGAGGCCAAAGCGTTAACAGCAAA